TGAGTATATTCGTGTTTTTTCTGTTTATGCACTATTGGTTTTTGAGTCGACTATAATTTGTTGTTAGGTAACAGTGTTATTACCTTATATTGGAACTTTACAGACATGCATTAGAAATATGATTTCATAGGAAACAAGCAGTGTTATTATCTTATACTGGAACTTTACAGTGGTAGACATGCATTAGAAATAGGATTTTATATGAAACTAGCAGTGTTATTATCCTATACTGGAACTTTACAAGGGGTAAACATGCATTAGAAATAGGATTTCAGAGGAATCTAGCAGTGTTATTACCCTATATTGAAACTTTACAAAGGGTATACATGCATTAAAAATAGGATTTCAAAGGAATCTAGCAGTGTTATTACCCTATATTGGAACTTTACAAGGGTTAAACATGCATTAGAAATAGGATTTCAGAGAAATCTAGCAGTGTTATTACCCTATAATGGAACTTTACAAGGGGTAGACATGCATTAGAAATAGGATTTCAGAAGAATCTAGTAGTGTTATTACCCTATATTGGAACTTTACAATGGTTAAATGCATTAGAAATAGAATTTCATAGGAAAAAAGAAGTGTTATTACCCTGTACTGGAACTTTTGCATTCAAAATAGGATTTCATTGGAAACAAGCAGTGTTATTACCCTATACTGGAACTTTACGGTGGTAAACATGCATTCAAAATAGGATTTTAGAGGAAACAATCAGTGTTATTACCCTATACTGGAACTTTACAGCCATTAATCAACATGAAAGTAAACTAGCAGTATTAAGAATGAGTATATGACTAAATATCTCTTTCTTTTTGAGTTGCTGAAAACTGACTATTTTATAGTCATATGCAGTTAGTCCAATAGTGAAAATCCAATATAATTTCAAAATTTTGTCTTGGATTCGAATATAAAATACTGTTATTACTATAGACTGGAACTTTACAGCAATTAATTAACATTACAATAAAGGTTTGGTTTTTAAATGTCTTACCTTTGAAGCCTTTTCTTGTTGAAATTGTTCTCTGAAATTTATCTTTGTTTTGCAGGTGGAGGTTAGTGTGTGGTGTTGGTTTTTGAAAGTAGATCAAGCTTGGTGGTTGTTATGGAGTTTCAGTTTGCATAAATGATGAAGACGGTGAAATAAAGAGATGTTTTGTTGAGATGGTTTAATGAAGATGCGTGCTTGAAGTTACTATTTTCGAGACAGTTATGTGTTGTAATAAAATGTTTTGGACTTTTTGTAACCAAAAAAAAAATTTGGGCTTTTTTATAAAATTTGATTGGGCTTGTTTTGGGTGTTTTTTGAGTTTTTTTTTCAATGGCAGTCCTGTAATTTATAGGAACTTCAACACCAATTTCTTATATAACAAATGGATTTTGGGTGTATTTCTAAAGTGCATTCCATGTGGGGTTTTTTTTATAATTTCAGCTCCTATTTTGGGTGTTTTAGTGAAACTCCCAAATATTATTTATACTAGACACGGAAATTTTTTTATTGTTTATTTTTATAAATAGTTTTAATTATTTACTATATGTTGTTTTTACACGGACTAAAACGTTTTTGTTTTTTTTAATGGATTGCGATTTGATTTTCACATTCATTACTAGTTATCCATTGTGGAGCAGTAATATAGTAAAATTAGGTAAGAGGCCCGATTTTATCATCCACGTCAGAATTGATATCCACCAACCAATTTTGTACCGTTGCAAAATTTGCCTTCCAATGGTCATCTCCGTAGTTATATTATAATATCCAACGGTCACAAAATTCAAATTCAGATTTCTCTCAATTCTGCAGCAGAAGCAAACAGAAAACCATATCATATTCTAAGCACCAGAAATTAAACACACATCCATTGTTACCAACTTACCAAGAAGAACACAGTGAGAAAAAAAAATGGAGGGTTCTGATAAGGTTCTTTTGTCATCAGCACCACCTAGGCGCTCTGTAACACAAGAGCCCTTTGCATTTGTACGCTCTCTCTCTCTCTCTCCTCTCTCTCTCTCTCTCTCTCTCTCTCTCAGTGTTTGTAGTTTTTGATTTGCCATACGATGTTTTGTTTAAAATAAAAACAATTTCAATATGCTAATAAGAGTTCATAATTCATAGTTCAAGTTTAGGAAAGATAGATATTCCATTTCTTTTTTCTTCTGTTTTGAAAAACGAAGCATTAGAAATTTAAAACTCCTTTGATTCATCATATATTCTAGTTTTTGTTTCAAAAATTGTTTTCTTTCTTTCCAAAATACGCAGACGAAATTATCAATATCATCAGCAAGTGGGCAATTCCCATCTGCGGAGCCCAAAGATACCAATGGCAAAGAATTACATGTCCCCAACTATATCTGCAACGTCCCAAGGCCATTCTTCAAGAAAGAACATCTTAGGCGAAAGAAATGAGGCATCTGAACCCAATTTTCCAATACCCTTGTTGAAAAGTTCCCCCATATAGGTACTGATAATGGTAATGATTCTTTATCCCAATCCTTGCCATTAACCCCTTCAGTTTTTCAATGCCATGATGATGGTAAAGCTCTTTCTGATAGTCTGTCTTCAAGGCCTTATGACCCTATAACTAATTACCTTCTCCGAGGCCTCAATTTCTCCGGTACAACCCAAATAGGCGCCGGGAGCGTTTTCTTGGCCTAGAATATGGTGGTACTGAAGAATGAAGACTTGGGTATTAGCAGAAGTGGTTTCTTTCGATTCCCAGATGCTATTGATGAGGAAGCTGGAACTATTACCACTCCAAGTTCTTTGGCTTCTTCTCGTCAGGATGGTCTTCTTAGCAGAAGTGGTTCTTTCAATTCCCAGAAAGCTACTGATGAGGATGCTGGAGCTGTTACCACTCCAAGTTCTTTCGCTTCTCCTCGTCAGGATGATCTTCTTAGTATAAGTGTTTCTCTTCGATTCCCAGAAAGCTATTGATGAGGAAGCTGGAGCTGTTACGACTCCCGGTTCTTTGGCTTCTCCTCGTCAGCATGGTCTTACTATGCAAGGAGATGAAGAAGTTGAGGTGAGTGATGGAGAAATTGAGGGAGTGATGAGGAAAATTGAGGAAAGTGATGAGGAATATGAGGAGGTGAAGGACGAGAAGATGTTGAAATTGAAAGGGTTTTAAAAAGTTTGCTTCTTTTGTTGGTTCTAGTACTCGTTATACCTCACATATATCTACTATAAATCATCAAACATTCTTTGAAGGCATTCCAGATGATGGTGCATTCAGAACCATACCTTGAAGCTGCTGTTATTTAAGAAACTGAAAGTGGAGGTATGTTTTGGGATGAAAAAGAAGAAAGATTTTTTTTTTTTTTTTTTTTTTTTTTTTTTTTTTTTTTTTTTTTTTTTTTTTTTTTTTTTTTTTTTTTTTTTTTTTTTTTTTTTTTTTTTTTTTTTTTTTTTTTTTTTTTTTTTTTTTTTTTTTTTTTTTTTTTTTTTTTTTTTTTTTTTTTTTTTTTTTTTTTTTTTTTTTTTTTTTTTTTTTTTTTTTTTTTTTTTTTTTTTTTTTTTTTTTTTTTTTTTTTTTTTTTTTTTTTTTTTTTTTTTTTTTTTTTTTTTTTTTTTTTTTTTTTTTTTTTTTTTTTTTTTTTTTTTTTTTTTTTTTTTTTTTTTTTTTTTTTTTTTTTTTTTTTTTTTTTTTTTTTTTTTTTTTTTTTTTTTTTTTTTTTTTTTTTTTTTTTTTTTTTTTTGGTGTGTGCATCCTTAAGTTGTGGGATCATGATGGGTTCCGTCACGGGACGTCATCATTTTGATGCGGAGGATTCTTTGACATGGATGGATTTAGGGTATTGATGAGTACACTTAAGGGTGCCACGTTCCTTGAAACGTGTCTATCCAAATTGTCGTATCTCAATATCCTATGGGAAGGAAACGGAAGAGCCGAAAGTATTGAATCCGCTGAGATGAGACGAAATTGTCAGAGGTAGTTGATGGACAAGTTACATGGGAATGGTGGAGTTGTGAGTCCGACCAAGGAGGGTCGTGACAAATTAAATTGAGAAGTAGTAGTGTTGGATGAAGTTTGTAGAGTTCTTATGGGCAGGAGGACATGGAGTTGATCAATCTACTTCTAGAGATCCTCCATTGCCTGAACATGTTGCTAATTCTCGATTGTGTGCAGTGAGCACGTTTGAGCAGAAATCTTTCATCGGAATCAGAAATGGGTCATGGTAGAGAGAGGAAGATGATGATTACAATTCGGTAAAAATGATCCTTTCTGACATTCCTCTCAAAGAATCGTGTTGGCAATGTTGCTTATCGATTCTAGAGAAAGAAGAAAGATATCAACAAGTCAAGGAGTTTGGACTTCTCTTCATGGGAGAGCTAGAAGAGAATCAAATCACAAATGGAAGCGTTTAGCTTTCAGAGGAAGATTAAGCATTACCGCAGTTATTGAAGGATATTCTTAGTGGAAGAAAGAGACTTCTCTTCTTCTGCTTGTTTGGATAGAGCGAATGGCTTAACTGCCAACCTGGTTGTGGAGGATGAAGCATGGGAACCCGAGTAGTAGATGCGGGCCCAGCACCCACACCCTTTGGAGTGGCAGGTATGAAATTTCGGGGACGAAATTTTTATAAGGGGGGTAGTCTGTAACACCCCGACTCCAAATTTATCCCCTGTTTTAATTAATTTGAGTGAAATTAAGAATTTACCCGAGGGATGGGGTATTTTAGTCATTTTCTTACCCGGAATGAATTTGGGAATTTCGGATGTACCGTTGCGTAGAGCACGGCGAGATGAGTTCGTAGACACGTAGTGGGCTCGAATCGGAGTTGTAACGAGAGAGATATGATCAAAAGAAGCTCAGTGGCATAATTGTAAATATTTGGAAAATGGGATTTTTGGTTAAAAAAGACGGAATTGCCCCCGTCTCTCACACTCTCTCTCTCCCGCGCGTCGCTCTCTCTCTCCTCTGGTTCGCGACAGCCACCGTGGCCGACCACGTTTTGGCCGGCCGTTCGCTCGTCCGGCCACCAAAGTCGACGGGGCCGGTACCAAAATGACCGGGCCGCCGTCCTCTTCCTACCCCGGCCAGGTCCCGCCGCCAGCCGCCGTGGTTTCGCCGGAAAACGAGGAGAAAAGCTCCGGTTTTGACAGAAAATTCGCCGGCTTCGTTCTCCGTCGTCCGGCCGCCATTTTTGGCGATCAAGGTATGGAAATTCATCCCTTCTGCATGATCTAGCTGATGGTTGGGTAGGATTGTATCGATTTTGAGCCTAGATTATCTGATTTTCGAGTTAGGGTTTCGGCCGGATTTCGGGATGAGATTCCGGCCACTTCCGGTCAGTTTTTGGGGTACGTCCAAGAACAAAAGTGACTCCAAATTAGGTGTATTACCTAGGGTAGGAGTCTGGGCTCACGATTTGGAAGTTTTCCGGCGATGGGTATCGCTTTGGACACCCACGCGCTGCCGGCGCGTGTGGCGGCGCGTGGGCACTGTAGCTGAGGGGCATTTTTGTCCCATTGTGATCCTCTCGATGTCACGAGCGCGTAGGTGTGCTCGGATCTCATTTTGGATACCGTTAGAGTCCCGAACGGATATCGCATATCGCGTGTTTTCCGGGTTCGCTGGGTTTGGACCGTTGGATGGTCCTGAGATTATATATGTTGATCTAGGTATTACCAGGATCGTGTAGGATTCGACGGATCGTAAAACGGAGTCCCGGATACTCCGGAAATGCCAACCCTGGGGTTAGGGTTTTAGTAACCGTCCGATTGTGTGATCGTGAGCGATCCGACCGTCCGATCTGGACCAAACTTGCAGGACTGTGTCCTAGAGCTTGTAGAACCTATAGGAACTTTCGGATCGGAATTGGAGGTTGTGGGCCCCGCAGGGCCCGTTTGACCCTAGGTTGACCGTGAGACTCCCGAGATAGTCTTACCTTTCTTGGGGTTAGATGACCTTAGTGACAGGTCTTGAGCGTTGTTGAAAATGGATCTGTGGGTTTAGGATATATTGGTGAATTTAAATGGGGGAGTTTATGGAATGTTTTATTGGTTGATGTGTTTGTATGATAGAAATTATATATTAATTAATTGTGTGGTGTATAATGATATATAAGGAGATTGAATGTTAGTTTGCAGTGCTATACGCACTACCCCACGTACCCCTCTATGCTGTGATCTTTGGGTTAGTGACAGTGTGATGCTCCCATCGGCACCCGATAGTGTCCCGACGTAATGAGTGGGAGATATGATGGTGTGAGGGCTGGTGAGAATGTAGCCAGGCCCAGTGTGAGGTCGCACGCGTCTTTGGGTTAGCCGGCGTGTTGACAGACCCCGTACGTGGCCGGGTGCGTCCCGACGTATGAGTGGGAGATATGATGGTATGAGGGCTGGTGAGAATGTAGCCAGGCCCAGTGTGAGGTCGCACGCGTCTTTGGGTTAGCCGGCGTGTTGACAGACCCCGTACGTGGCCGGGTGCGTCCCGACGTATGAGTGGGAGATATGATGGTATGAGGGCTGGTGAGAATGTAGCCAGGCCCAGTGTGAGGTCGCACGCGTCTTTGGGTTAGCCGGCGTGTTGACAGACCCCGTACGTGGCCGGGTGCGTCCCGACGTATGAGTGGGAGTTATGGTGTGTGAGGGCTGGTGAGAATGTAGCCAGGCCCAGGGTTGAGGTCGCACGCGTCTTTGGGTTAGCCGGCGTGTTGACAGACCCCGTACGTGGCCGGGTGCGTCCCGACGTATGAGTGGGAGTTATGATTGTGTGAGGGCTGGTGAGAATGTAGCCAGGCCCAGGGTTGAGGTCGCACGCGTCTTTGGATTAGCCGGCGTGTTGACAGACCCCATACGTGGCCGGGTGCGTCCCGACGTATGAGGGGAGCTATGTGATTATGTTTGGTGTGTTGTGATGGATAAACCCGAGAATGTATGAATTTATATGGATGTGATGGTTTAATTGATATCAGGAGCCAGGATTGATAGGAAAGAGCTACGTGTGGCTTGATCCCTTAGTAGGGTACGTAGGCAGCCTGGGATAGCGCCTAGGTGCAGCCACGACCTAGACACCACTTAGGTGGTTTTATCGAGTATGATGCGGACCTCGTGGTTGGTCCCGAAACTTGGTTGAATTGAGGCTTGTCCGGTGGACTGAGTGAGTGAAGGTGTGTATGGATGAATTGGTTATATGCTTGTCTGATGCAGTAAGTTATTTTGAAAACGTGGTGGGCAGTTTGTTAGAATCATTGAAGGCCGGAGGCCATTTATGTAAATTGCATGAGAGTATATTGTGCGTGCTGCTGGTTGGGTTATAAAATGAGTTTTATGCAGGTAGAAATTTTGGGGAATGTTCAATTTACAGGGGAGACTATGCCGAAATTTTGGCAGAAAGTCTCGTGCCCTAAATCCTCTCTGGTAAAAGAGGACATAGTTTTAAGGAGTAAACCCGGCGTGGGTGTGATGCCGGGGTCTCCGCAGGGTTCGTCTCGGGTTCCGGGAAATTCGGGGGCGGGTCCTGTCAGCTTGGTATCAGAGCTTAGGTTCAATTTCTTGTGGACCCCGCACCTTGTGTGCATCCTTAAGTTGTGGGAGCATGATGGGTTCCGTCGTAGGATGTCCTCATTTCGACGCAGAGGACTCTTTGACATGGATGGATTTAGGGTATTGATGAGTACACTTAAGGGTGCCACGTTCCTAGAAACGTGTCTATCCAAATTGTCGTATCTCAATATCCTATGGAAGGAAATGGAAGAGCTGAAAGTGTTGAATCTGTTGAGATGAGATGAAATTGTCCGAGATAGAGTTGATGGACAAGTTACAAGGGAATGGGGGAGTTGTGAGTCCGACCAAGGAGGGTCGTGACAAATTAAGTTGAGAAGTAATAGTGTTGGATGAAGTATCACTTCACTCGCGTGGGTTTGAATGCCGCGATTGACAGGAGTGGAACCTTATGGTTCTTCTTCCTTGCTTTCTCACGCAGTGAATTTGAACTCCAAAATTTCTTTGAAGTCCGGCCACTGTGAGTTTTGACCGGCGACTTGGGTTACTTCTGCCTACCCCTCTGCAAAGGGAACCAATATGAGAAAGAGGAAGAGGAAAGGTACATAGGCCGTTGAGGCAGAAGTAGAGCTAGAGCTTTACCACAGACGGAGGTTGTTGAGTTCTTATGGGCAGGAGAACATGGAGTTGATAAACTCGTTTCTAGAGATCCTCCATTGCCTGAACATGTTGCTAATTCTCGATTGTGTGCAGTGAGCACGTTTGAGCAGAAATCTTTCATCGGAATCAGAAATGGGTCATGGTAGAGAGAGGAAGATGATGATTACAATTCGGTAAAAATGACCCTTTCTGACATCCCTCTCAAAGAATCGTGTTGGCAATATTGCTTATCGATTCTAAAGAAAGAAGGAAGATATCAACAAGTCAAAGAGTTTGGATTCTCTTCATGGGAGAGCTGGAAGAGAATCAAATCACAAATGGAAGCATTTAGCTTTCAGAGGAAGATTAAGCATTACCGCAGCTATTAGAGGATATTCCTAGTGGAAGAAAGAGACTTCTCTTCCTCTGCTTGTTTAGATAGAGCTAATGGCTTGGCTGCCAACCTGGTTGTGGAGGATGAAGCATGGGAACCCGAGCAGTAGATGCGGGCCCAGTACCCACACCCTTTGGAGTGGCAGGTATGAAATTTCGGGGACGAAATTTTTATAAGGGGGGTAGTATGTAACACCCCGACCCCAATTTATCCCATGTTTTAATTTATTTAAGTGGAATTGAGAAATTACCCGTGGGATAGGGGTATTTTAGTCATTTTCTTATTTGGGAGGACTTTGGGAATTCCGGTTGTACCGTTGCGTAGAGCACGGCGAGATGAGTCCGTAGACACGTAATGGGCTCGAATCGGAGTTGTAACGAGAGAGATATGATCAAAGAAGCTCAGTGGCATAATCGTAAATATTTTGAAGTGGGATTTTTGGTTAAAAGACGGAATTGCCCCCGTCTCTCTCACACTCTCTCTCTCCCGCGCGTCGCTCTCTCTCTCCTCTGGTTCGCGACAGCCACCGTGGCCGACCACGTTTTGGCCGGCCGTTCGCTCGTCCGGCCACCAAAGTCGACGGGGCCGGTACCAAAATGACCGGGCCGCCGTCCTCTTCCTACCCCGGCCAGGTCCCGCCGCCAGCCGCCGTGGTTTCGCCGGAAAACGAAGAGAAAAGCTCCGGTTTTGACAGAAAATTCGCCGGCTTCGTTCTCCGTCGTCCGGCCGCCATTTTTGGCGATCAAGGTTTGGAAATTCATCCCTTCTGCATGATCTAGCTGATGGTTGGGTAGGATTGCATCGATTTTGAGCGTAGGATGTCTGATTTTCGAATTGGATTTCGGCCGGATTTCGAGGGGAGATTCCGGCCACTTCCGGTCAGTTTTTGGGGTACGTCCAAGAACAAAAGTGACTCCAAATTAGGTGTATTACCTAGGGTAGGAGTCTTGGCTTTCGATTTGGAAGTTTTCCGGCGATGCGATATCGCTTTGGACACCCACGCGCTGCCGGCGCGTGTGGCGGCGCGTGGGCACTGTAGCTGAGGGGCATTTTTGTCCCATTGTGATCCTCTCGATGTCACGAGCGCGCAGGTGTGCTCGGATCTCAATTTGGGTATCGTTAGAGTCCCGAACGGATATCGCATATCGCGTATTTTCCGGGTTCGCTGGGTTTGGACCGTTGGATGGTCCTGATATTATAATATGTTAATCTAGGTATTACCAGGATCGTGTAGGATTCGACGGATCGTAAAACGGAGTCCCGGATACTCCAGAAATGCCAACCCTAGGGTTAGGGTTTTAGTAACTGTCTGATTGTGTGATCGTGAGCAATCCGACCGTCCGATCTGGACCAAACTTGCAGGACATGTGTCCTAGAGCCTATAGAACCTATAGGAACTTTCGGATTGGAGTTTGGAGGTTGTGGGCCCCGCAGGCCCGTTTGACCCTAGGTTGACCGTGAGACTCCCGAGATAGTCTTACCTTTATTTGAGGGTTAGAATGACCTTAGTGACAGGTCTTGAGCGTTGTTGAGTAAAATGGATATTATGGGTTTAGGATATAAATTGGTGAATTTAAATGGTGGGAGTTTATGGAATGTTTTATTGGTTGATGTTATTGTATGATATATTTAATTGATTGTGTGGATGTATAATGATATATAAGGAGATTGAATGTTAGTTTGCAGTGCTATACGCACTACCCCACGTACCCCTCATATTGTGATTATGCTCAGGCCCAAGTGATAGTGTGAGGTCGCACGCGTCTTTGGGCTAGCCGGCGTGTTGACAGGCCCCGTACGTGGCCGGGTACGTCCCGACGTATGAGTGGGTGATATGATGGTATAAGGGCTGGTGAGAATGTAGCCAGGCCCAGTGTGAGGTCGCACGCGTCTTTGGGTTTAGCCGGCGTGTTGACAGGCCCCGTACGTGGCCGGGTACGTCCCGACGTATGAGTGGGAGATATGATGGTATAAGGGCTGGTGAGAATGTAGCCAGGCCCAGTGTGAGGTCGCACGCGTCTTTGGGTTAGCCGGCGTGTTGACAGGCCCCGTACGTGGCCGGGTACGTCCCGACGTATGAGTGGGTGATATGATGGTATAAGGGCTGGTGAGAATGTAGCCAGGCCCAGTGTGAGGTCGCACGCGTCTTTGGGTTAGCCGGCGTGTTGACAGACCCCGTACGTGGCCGGGTGCGTCCCGACGTATGAGTGGGTGATATGATGGTATGAGGGCTGGTGAGAATGTAGCCAGGCCCAGTGTGAGGTCGCACGCGTCTTTGGGTTAGCCGGCGTGTTGACAGACCCCGTACGTGGCCGGGTGCGTCCCGACGTATGAGTGGGAGTTATGGTTGTGTGAGGGCTGGTGAGAATGTAGCCAGGCCCAGTGTGAGGTCGCACGCGTCTTTGGGTTAGCCGGCGTGTTGACAGACCCCGTACGTGGCCGGGTGCGTCCCGACGTATGAGTGGGAGTTATGGTTGTGTGAGGGCTGGTGAGAATGTAGCCAGGCCCAGTGTGAGGTCGCACGCGTCTTTGGGTTAGCCGGCGTGTTGACAGACCCCGTACGTGGCCGGGTGCGTCCCGACGTATGAGTGGGAGTTATGGTTGTGTGAGGGCTGGTGAGAATGTAGCCAGGCCCAGGGTTGAGGTCGCACGCGTCTTTGGGTTAGCCGGCGTGTTGACAGACCCCGTACGTGGCCGGGTGCGTCCCGACGTATGAGTGGGAGTTATGATTGTGTGAGGGCTGGTGAGAATGTAGCCAGGCCCAGGGTTGAGGTCGCACGCGTCTTTGGATTAGCCGGCGTGTAGACAGACCCCATACGAGGCCGGGCGCGTCCCGTCGTATGAGGGGAGCTATGTGATTATGTTTGGTGTGTTGTGATGGATAAACCCGAGAATGTATGAATTTATATGGATGTGATGGTTTAATTGATATCAGGAGCCAGGATTGATAGGAAAGAGCTACGTGTGGCTTGATCCCTTAGTAGGGTACGTAGGCAGCCTGGGATAGCGCCTAGGTGCAGCCACGACCTAGACACCACTTAGGTGGTTTTATCGAGTATGATGCGGACCTCGTGGTTGGTCCCGAAACTTGGTTGAATTGAGGCTTGTCCGGTGGACTGAGTGAGTGAAGGTGTGTATGGATGAATTGGTTATATGCTTGTCTGATGCAGTAAGTTATTTTGAAAACGTGGTGGGCAGTTTGTTAGAATCATTGAAGGCCGGAGGCCATTTATGTAAATTGCATGAGAGTATATTGTGCGTGCTGCTGGTTGGGTTATAAAATGAGTTTTATGCAGGTAGAAATTTTGGGGAATGTTCAATTTACAGGGGAGACTATGCCGAAATTTTGGCAGAAAGTCTCGTGCCCTAAATCCTCTCTGGTAAAAGAGGACATAGTTTTAAGGAGTAAACCCGGCGTGGGTGTGATGCCGGGGTCTCCGCAGGGTTCGTCTCGGGTTCCGGGAAATTCGGGGCGGGTCCTGTCAGGTAGAGCTTGAGTTCTCTCCAAAAATGGAAGACCTCAACAAATTTCACAGTGCAGTCTCTAGCTCACCGACGTCCTCAAGAACAGCCACTTCTGCCCTCTCAGACTGAAGAAGCCGCAGTTCTGCCCACTCAGAAGCTTCACAAAAGCTTAAGGTACATTGAAGCTCTGCCAGAATCAACCTTTGGTATCGATTTGTAGTTGAAAATCTGGCAATCAGAGTTGTCAACGGTCCAGTCCAGCCCAGACATTCCCAGTCCAGCCCATAACAGAGCCTCCCATCCAGGCAGAAATGGAGATCCAGCTATCTTTTTATCTTTTTAGCATTGACATCTATTTTTATAGTTTTGTAAAAGGCACTTCTGCCCAAAAACAGCTTAAATTTCATCAACCATTCTGTCCAGAACAACCTCTTTATACTGAGATAAATTGTTAAAGTCCTCACCAGTCTGAGGCAAGAAAAGGACTTACTTGGGAGATATTCCTCACCCAAATTCACAATCGTTTGTTTAAGAAATCAGTAACTTGGGGCGCAAGTTATCCATTCTAGACTAAGTCTGCTAGAATTTTTATTACTAGCAGTGGCACGCTCGCACACCAAAGAAAGCTGACTTGTTGACCAGTCTATGGTTCTCAAGGCAGTGGGGAACTTTGCCCTTCCATCATAGGAGTAAACACAAAACGGGTGAACAGTACTTTAGACACATAACCAAATAACTTACAGGACAATCAAATTCTGGAATTTAGACAAAAATTCTGGAATTGGTCCCGTTAAGTTGTTGTTTGATAGATCCCTGAAATCATGAGCAGCTCAATTCATTTTACATTAAATGGAATTGTCTACTTTCTCATTACCTTAGCAAATGCAGTAAGACCACTTACAAATACTGTATCATTGTGAGATTGGATATATAAGCAGCTATCTCTCCTGTTAAGCCACTCGAGGACAAGTCCCTGATTGTATTTTTTGTAGATTCAATAATTAAGACATGATGAGGTATAATAAACTCAAATATCAGGAGAAGTTTGTTTGAGGTCATATATATATACTTACAAGGATATGATTCTTGGTTCAAATTCTTGATAGTTACACTTTACTCCTTGCCAAACGTAATCTTGAGGGGCACATGGATCTCCTTGCCAATTTCTTTTAATATTATAAGTTGACTTGATCGATGCGATTGCATCAACTAATATTTTCACACGCAAACAGAAGATTTCATCAGAAGAATTCATATGTACACTTCCATACTGGTAAGGTACTAAACGAGAGGAAGCCACTTGTGTAAGGAAGAACTAATTAGTTAGTGGTTACCATCTTCTTGGTTTGTTTCTGCTTCTACTAAGTGTTTAACCATATAAATCTCGAAAGCATTGAGGATAGGTGGAAGGGTAGAGTTCTCAGCCCTAGTTATTGAAATATTAACATATTTTCCACCACTGCGCCGAGGGTAAGGGTCGTAAATGGTATTTCTTGACAAGTATCGAGGAGCAAATGGCTCAGAAGTGCTGGCTCCGTCCGAAACTTGTTGCAATCTAGATTGGTTGAGTTGGAGGCTTTCAACTTCTGCAAAGTGCAGGTAACTGTAATATTCAGCATCTTTGTCAGGCAACGATAAAACAATTATCAAGGAATCACTTGGATTTTTTGGCGTTGAAGCAGTGCGCATAACAACAGATGGAATTTGGTAAGGGTCGTCAGATTCAGAGTTGATGGGGGATGCGGTGTTTAATTGTGTCCAATCATCGGGGTCATCATAGGGATCCCATTGTCGATCAAGAATATCGTCTGGATACCTAATCAAAGCCAAAGTTCCATCAGAATATATATAATCAAAATTAAAAGTTTCAATGATTGCAAACTGTTAATGTATGGTTTTTACTATTTTCTTTTGGCATCCCTTGACTACTTTGTAATAGGATGTGTTTTGTTATTTATCAAGCTCAAGTTTAGATTAAGGAAAACCTTTCTTGGTGCTCTTCTCTAACTTCTGCTCCATGGAGGTTCAAGCAAGTTGACAAAGGTATTGTGCATTGCATATCATTTCATAAAACAGTCTTCATAAAAATGATGACTAGTCATCCGTTTCTCAGATGACTAGTAATCCTTGCTCTGTAGGATTTCCAGCTAGATAACAAACTGTTTTGTCCTATTCCTCTTTTTCTCTCTCTCTACTGTCATCTGTGTTTTCTGACCTAAGGAATTTTTTGGCTGTAAAGGCTACGTTTTTGGTCATTTGGCTGTGTCTCTTTGGGTGGAAGTTTTGGAAAGATTGGCTTGCTTTCTTTCTCTTCTTCTTCCTCAAGTGAGAACCAAATATTTCATCTATGAGTTTTTCCAATTGATTTCTTTTTGAAAAACTGCATTTGAAACATGAATATGCATCTAGCTACTTAAATCATTCTCTCATTTATATCTAGGTCAGATTCAAGACTGATTTCTTCAAGAGTATGGTTTCTTGAAGAAATTGGTCATTCTCCTTTGAATCCAAATTTTGGTTTCGGTTTGTGTTGGAGCTTGCAAGCTAGTGTCATGGGATGAACGAGCTGGAGAAGGAGCTGCCATTTCCATGAAGAACTGAGCTTCAAGCTTTGCTAAGTTGGAGAAGAAGATTGCACAAAGGAGGTATAGCTCATCTTCCTAAATAGATATAGGTTTTTCTTGAGCTTGCTTGTGTTCCTTTGTAAGAATCTTTTTCTACTTAGTGGATTGCCTGGTCGGTTGATGACCCCCAGTTTTTCCCAATGGTGGGTTTCTGGGTGAACAGTTTCTGGTTTCCAACTCTGTAAATTTTCTGGGTTTGTGTTCTTGATAGTTGACTAGTCATCTGGGTTTGTGCGGTTGACTAGTCATCTTTTTCTGATGTTTGGTGTTTGCTTGATTATGCTGTCTTCACACACTTTCACCATAGTTGTTGGTAGCACAGGGGATGCCTAGATTGACGGGTCCTTCTGAGTGCGTAGGTTGTCACTAGTAATTCTCTAGGCTTGCAGGTACATCTTGGTATGCTCTGTGTATGTTATTGTTTGGTATAATTCATATATGACAGTTGACTAGTCATAAGAGTATTTGGTCAAGGTCTAGAGTGTGTGAAGTTTGCTGCGTTCTTGGTTGAATATCTTTTAAATTTACCCCTCGTCACCTGAGTACCAATTTCACAAACACACACACACACATATATATGGGGAACTCATAGCTAGCTAGGAGACGACTCACCTGATAAAAGTCCTACTATCAGGTGTCTGGCCCGTGTCATTTCGGGAGACAAGTGCCAATGGCCCCGTTTCCACTTGATAAGATGTATTAGCTAAATTTCTGAGTTCTAGAGCTGATATAAATGGAACCCCAGAGCTTGTGTTCACCAAACAAACATGTATATAGTTTCGGAGTGGGACATATATGAGCTCTTTGTCCATGTATTCGTAGGTTTCAAGGCTCACAGTATCCCACAAATTAGGTCCAAGGTGCAGTTCAAATTCTGGTAACTTATCTTGGCTATCATAATTCCCATATAAGAAACTTGCTCGGATCAAATATTTGTTGCCGCGTGTAACATTTATCTTGTAGCAATTCCTGGCTCCTTCGGGGAAGCTCCTAACAGACTCGTATGGCCGTTGATACTCATCACTGTAACTAGGCGATGTGGATTTACTTTCACCGGTGTCTATGAAGGTTGCATCGGACGTGTGTAGTTAATGCTAGTTGTCGGTTCAGGATAACTTGAGACTTCCTGGAGGCCACAATCTATGCTAATGAATTCTGAGACATATAAACATACATATGTAAGAAAGAGAGGTATATATATCTTAGCTATATACTATGCTACCAAAATTAACGATTTATTTTTTCTTGCTGCTGATATATTTACCTGATTGATCATCTTGGGAATGAACAAGCAGCATCAGATTAAGAGCGAAACCAGCAACCAGAAAGAAGAGTTGCTTGGACGTCCACGACATGACTACAAGGGAAGCAAAGACACAAACTTAAGTAAGTATTTTGTGTTGAATGGATATCATTTTATATATAAAAATAACATAAGTCAAGCCTACGCTTTTTGTCTCATGTCTCAAAGTCCATTTTTCAAGTGGTGTAAAAACTTTAGTTAATTTGTGCATGAACACTTGTTTGTAATTTCTTTTGGTTATTGGTAGAAGTTACCAACTAGCGTGGAAGCTACAGCCAAGTCAAGTCTGTCCATATGTGCAGTGCCATGATTTATGGACGGTCAGGATCTACAATAAATCGAAATGGATACTTGTTACTCTGCCAGCTTTCTTCCATTTTGTAGATAGCACGCGTTCTGTGTATGTTTGACGTTTTTGATGAAAATTAAATGAAAAGTCGGACCAAACCGTTTGCATGGTTACTGCAACTATTGCGTGACCATTGTTAGGATTTTTAAGCGCTCTGATGCAACTATTGGATTGGATTGAGTGTAGGGGTTTATTAGGATGAAAATTCATTCATCTTTGTTGGCCAAGAGCGGGAAAATTCATTGAACTTGACAACTTGTGAGAAATTGAAGGGGTTTAGAAAAAAATGTCCAAGCTTTATACTAGTATACTTTTATTATTTTATACTAGAAATCGGGCATAACATTTTCCACCTCTAAAAATGTCAAAAATAAGTATGTTATAATTATTATGAAGACAAAATTGGGGAAAACACAGTTCTGTTTTTTGCTTGAATATTTAGCATTGACTTTGACTTGGTTGTCGTGGACGTACCTGTCCATGTCATATGATGCCATGCTCTAGCTGTGAGTATGACCAATCCGGCTTCCCTGTGGAAAATTTGGGCTTGATGTGGAAGGCTTGTAAAATAATTGATAATTGATTATTGACTAGTTAATAAAAGTATTTTTCTTTTTCTTTTTACCAGAAGACAATGCGTTATTATTAGAGCTATTTAGTGATATACCCATTCTTAGCACTAATATTATAAATAAACCCTACACCATTGAATTTCTATAAACAAACTCAAAAAATGACAGCTGGCCTTATTGAATTTAATATTGATTATTAAATTACTTTGATGCCTATTGAGTGTTTTGGGTATTTTTATGAGATTTTGGGGTGGGCTTGTTTTAAGAAATTGATGGCAGTTTTGTAATTTATAAGAAGTTAAAAGCCTCTTTGCTATGTTGTAAATGGGCTTGGGTGTGTTTATAAAGTCCATTTCATATGGGGTATTTATAATTTGGGCTCCTATATTGGGTATAATAGTAAATCTCCCTTATTATTATTATTATTATTATTATTATTATTTATTTTGTTATTATTATTATTATTAAAGGTGAAGGGATGTTGAGGCTACAGCAGAGGTTTAAAGGTGAAGGGATGTTGAGGCCACAACACACTACGGTTGATTGCACAAAACATCCTACAATTTTGAAGCCCTTTAATGTCATTCTTGTTTGAGGTTTTAACATATGAGATTGACTATGTTGTTAGGGTTTTGAGTTTGGGGAAGAAAATGGTAAAGTAGGAAAAGAAAGAGAGAGAAGAGATATTGAGATAATGGCTGACCAAGTTGGATGGGTGGAGTCGGCTGAGGTTGCGTGGGCTGATGGGGCTGTAGTGGCTATTGTTTTTATTTTTTTATTTAATAATTAGCTTTGTTGAGTTAACACAGTTATGTTAGAAGTTAAGTATAGAGACATGTGTCAATAAATTAGAGGAGTAACAGGGAGGCACAGGAAAATGGGTAACAGGAAAACCGGACTCGGGAGAGAGAGCCATAAGCACTACTACAAAAAAGGCTAATAGGCATCGGGGAAAAAACCAATGCCTTTTAATATCACACACCGATGCCTCGTAAGGTGATGCTAAAGGGGGTTGTAAAAGGCATTGAGGAAAACCCGATGTCTTTTACAGAAACAACATCGGTTTCTTAAATCAAAGTTTTGCGTCAACATCGGTTTCTAAAAATGTTAAAACTAAGTAAGCACTAATATTTTTATAATTATTATTAGGTAAGATATATTTTATAAAATCTGATTATTGAGAGTTTTATAACATCTATATTTTATAAATTCAGTGATTAGAATTTATCAAAATCTAACTGCAGTTTCCAACCATTTGATCTCAGTTTGTGCGATAATCCACATCTATCTCGGCATGGGTCTTGCAAATTAAAGAATAAGCACAATTTCATTATTCCCATAGTAGTGCCAATTGCAACCGCTGGAATTTCCATCCTCTTGTTAGTTGCAGTAGCTATCTGGTGGTGGAGCCTCAAAAGGAATAGGCAAGAGGGTAAGACTTCCAATATATGTTAAAGTAATTTCTTTCGGCGATAAATGATGAAGACTGAAGGTTTTGGTTGTATAAGATACATGCTTATTAAACTTGTCATGTTCTTTGGAGATGTCATAGATGCAAAAGCAAGCCCTCAATACGGGTCATTAGAATCAACAAAGCGACAGTCTACATATTCTGAGATACTAAATATGACCAACAACTTTGAGAGGGTTCTTGGCAAAGGTGGATTTGGAACCGTTTATCATGGCTACATGGAACATACTCAAGTGGCTGTAAAGATGCTTTCAGCATCATCTGTTCAAGGGTTCCAACAATTTCATGCAGAGGCATGTTTGTCAAATTAAATAAATTAACACAATATCTTGAGCTCAATCTTATGTGATGAATTGACATGTGTTTATTTGAGAAGCTAAGACAAATTAAGTAAACTATTTCTGTTCAATGGATAACCTTTATATTTTATACATATTTATTATATATATATATATATATATATATTATGAGAGTAATCGTCCATGTCAGAAGGACCATATCATCTTCTATATGGTGATAACCAATTTGCTGAGAAAATTGTGTGGAAATTTGGGCTTCACTCAGCATACGTACCGTGGGGTTTGGAGAAGACTTGTAAAACACGACCTCCATGGGGAAGAAATAGTTGGACCATTTGTGATCGTACATACTAACTTTGAGAACCACGAGTGACACAAAAAAATATTAAGGATGCAATATGATAGTTTCGTAAACTTCAGGGACGTTTTGTGATAATAAGCCAATTTTTCCACAACATGCAAGTCTACCATGAAAGTCTACCGTTCATACCTATCTTTGGATGGAGTCATTCAAAATCTAAATTTGAATGTCATTATAACGTTAAAGTCGTATGCGTAATATTTTCCACAACATGCAAGTCTACTATTCATACCTATCTTTGAAAAACAAATTAATGATGAATTGTGTATGTTTTGTGCACAAACGTCCCATTGATGATAATCAACTGACCAAACTGGTGGCTAAAATATGAGCTGATTCTAGAATCTCAGTCACCAACGAAAATTTGCGTCTTTAGGTCGACTTGAAGGAAAATTTGTTCTTGTAGGTGCGTCTTTGAAGGAATGTTGACACGTTCTGCAGTTGACTTATGACCAATTCGCTTTGACTTTTGTGGAAAATTTGTCCTGCATTTTGAAAGACAGTGGGTCTACGGAAGGCTTCTAAATACGGAGGAAGACTTAGACATGAATATGATTGAGTAGTTGTGGAAGCAAAATATCTACGGATTCTATGTCAAATAATTAAGTTAATTAATTTGGGAATTATTTGATTCTTACCTTAATTAGAGATTTGATTTGAATCAAATCCATAATTAAATCAATCTCTCCAAATTGGGGAAGAATAATTCCTTTCCATATGTGGAATCATTCTTCCGAAACCCTAGCCTCCGAAGCTCTTATAAATACATGGCTACACCAAGAGTTGAGGTAATTCTAAACTTAATTCTAAACTTTTGTTTGAAACTCTACAGAAATCCTCTCTCATAAACTCTAGCTGCCATACTCTTTCTCTCTCTTACACAAGGCTCCGGCCACCACACAAGGCTCCAGCCACCCAATTCTCACACTAGATAAATCTCCATACCTTTTGTTAGCTATTGTTTTCCTACAAACACTCAACCTAACTTAGGGATCAAGGACGGACCTAGGATTTCAAAATGGAGTGGGCTAAATTTACCTTGCGTATAAACCTATTATGTCCGTCTCTACTGCTAGATAACTCAAACCCAACATTTCGTGACCTAAAATAGAACTATTCATGTATATCTCATACTCAACTTTATTAATTATTTAAAAATGATTTAACTCTAAAATAATTTTATGTTTAATTATTTCTTAATTTAATTTTAGTTTATGTCATCGTAATTTATTTTCTTGAACATTTAACTTTAAAAAAAATTCAAATTTGGGAAACAAAATTTTGATTCACAAATGGTGTAAGGAGATAAAAGATAACATTTATTACCTCTAAAAAAATATAACATTTATTACTTTTTTGTTGTTGGAGCTAATGTATTACTTGTTTCTTTGTCTCAAAATTCTTTTTGATGTTATTGTTGCAATATTAAAGCTGCGCAAGGGGGTGTGGTTTTGAGCTTTAGTTTTAAAGCATAATATAGTTTACTAATTTAGTAGAAAGAAATACAATTTAGTCTAATTAGCAAAAGGCAAAAAACCAAAATGTAACAAAAATACCATTACAAAATATGAAAATTACAACGTATGCCATTTTCAGTATTTAGTTTTAAACAAAAACTGAAAAACGACATCAAACCAAAACTGAATCAAAACGACATCAACCGAAACCAAAATTGAATCACAACCTATTCGCGCAACGTTTCAACTTCACCTCCAGAAAACCTCTTCAACTTCACCTCCAGAAACCTCCAGACCACCAACGATCATCGAAGACCACCAACCCATTCGTGCGACCATCATCAAAGACCACCAACGATCGAAGCCGATTCTTCATTCTCTCTTTCAGCAGTTCCAACCTATTCCCCCAAAATCTGAAACGGCGACGAGCGACGAGCGACGAGCGACGAGCGACGAGCGATGAGCGACGAGCGACGAGCGACGAGCGACGAGCGACGACCACCAGCAACGACGACGATTGAAGGGTTTAGCACTCTCTTAGGGAAAAAATCGTAAGAAAATGACCCCTAACACAAATTTGCCTTCGATTTTAGGGTTCTGAAATTTTACTTACTGTCATTCTGCAATGTAGTTTAGGTTTTGGGTTTAGTTTTGGTTTGAAAACCTCTAAAAACCGAAAAATCACAAAAGAAAGAAAAAGAGCATCAAAACTGTTTTCTGCACTGAAGAAAACAGAAACTGCATTGTAGTTTCTGCTAAATTATTTATACTTCTTTCCATTTCACGTCATGTTGTTCTGTAGTTTCTGTTATGTTTTGTAGTTCTTGTTTGACTATGCTGATCTTTCAATTTCATGTCAAGTTGATGTATATTTTCTGGTATATTCTGTTTTTTGCATTGCAGTGAACCACAAACTGCATTGCAGTTTCTGTGCATTTCACGCCATGTTGTTCTGTAGTTTCTGTTATGTTTTGTAGTTCTTGTTTTGGCTATGCTGATCTTTCAATTTCATGTCAAGTTGATGCATATTTTCTGGTATATTCTGTTTTTTGCATTTTAGTGAAAGACAAACTGCATTGCAGTGAACCACAAACTGCATTGCAGTTTCTGTGCTTCTTGAATGTTGCTCATTTCACACCATGTTGTTCTGTAGTTTCTGTTATGTTTTGTAGTTCTTGTTTTGGCTATGCTGATCTTTCAATTTCATGTCAAGTTGATGCATATTTTCTGGTATATTCTGTTTTTTGCATTTTAGTGAAAGACAAACTGCATTGCAGTGAACCACAAACTGCATTGCAGTTTCTTTGCTTCTTGAATGTTGCTCATTTCACGCCATGTTGTTCTGTAGTTTCTGTTATGTTTTGTAGTTCTTGTTTTGGCTATGCTGATCTTTCAATTTCATGTCAAGTTGATGCATATTTTCTGGTATATTCTGTTTTTTGCATTTTAGTGAAAGACAAACTGCATTGCAGTGAACCACAAACTGCATTGCAGTTTCTGTGCTTCTTGAATGTTGCTCATTTCACGCCATGTTGTTATGTAGTTTCTGTTATGTTTTGTAGTTCTTGTTTTGACTATGCTGATCTTTCAATTTCATGTCAAGTTGATGCATATTTTCTGATATATTCTGTTTTTTGCATTTTAGTGAAAGACAAACTGCATTGCAGTGAACCACAAACTGCATTGCAGTTTCTGTTTGCTTGTAGTTTATCTCTACTTGTCCTAATAGTATTTTCATCCCTTCTTGTTGCAGATCACAAATGGCACAAGAAATGTCACCACAAAGGGAGGAAGCTCAAAACCAACCAAAGCGAAGATTCAAAATGATGGCTCAAAAGAGTAAACCAAAGCCAAAGCCAAAGCCAAACTATGATCGGAAAGCAAAGCACCCAGACTATGTCCAATTTCGGTGCAATGTCAACGCTTTCAACAGCATCATTACGGACTTAAAAGACAAGCTCAACGAAAGGCAGAAGAAGCTTCTCAAGAAAACCCCATTTTGGAACTTGATTAAGCTGTTTTACAACCAGAGAATTGACATGAATAACATGAATAAGTGAGACCTTGACTTAGTACAGCTGCTCAAGAAATTTGATCCGGATACAAAGTCCTTCAAATTTGGCACCGAAGCATTCAAGATCACAGGCAATGCAGTGACTTAGATTCTAGGACTGCCAAATGAAGGAAAATCTGTCAAACTTGTCAATGATAGGTACACTTCTACCTTTAGAATAAGACACTTTGGAGAAAAGGGAAAGCCATCAAAAAATCAGGTAGAAGCAGAATTACTAAAGACAATTTCCTTGGCAAACCAACCGAAGAAAGAAAAGGCCAAGGCAGAGCAAAAGAAAGAAGCTGAAGAAAAAGAAGAAGAAGTTGACTACGACAAGGAGGTGGTCAGCCTAATATTGATTCACCTCTGCATGACATTCCTTTTTGCCAACGCTTCATCTACTTTGCATTGGAAAGTATTTGAGCACTGTGTGAATCTAGACACACTTTCAAGCTATTCTTGGGCAAGAGCTGTTTCAGCCTACATGAATGAATCCTTGGTCGCAAAAGCAAAAGCAAAAGCAAAGAAGGGAGGAGAAGGCGCTATAGGAGCTGTTTCGGGTTGCATTATCCTAATATTGGTAAGTAAACAGTGGCTTATGCAATGCATTTTGAGTTTTAGGCAATGCAGTTTCCCTTTAGTGCAATGCAGTTTCTGTTTTATCCTAAGCAGTTTCCAACCTAATTTATGATATATCTTGTTTTTGAATTGTGCAGTTTCTACTGTGTGAGAGGACAAACATAATACAACCAATCCTGGGCAAGGAGAAAGAAACTTCTGCCATTCTTAAATGGAGTCTTGTGGAACTCCACATAAGATTCAACCAAATAAAGGACTTGAATGACATTGAGGTATGCAATTTATCGCATGTTCTACTTTAATGTATCTTGAATGTGAATTCATGCTAAATCATTCTCATTGTACAGGGTATTTTCAAAACTCCTAAAAAGCGAAAAACTACCAGGGAAGAGGAAGACACTGTTGACAAGGTAATTAAAATCTGTATACAGTGCATTGCAGTTTGTGTTTTCTACATTGCAGTTTGTATTTTATCCAATGCAGTTTTTGAATCATTCAATCTCATTGTACAGGGTATTTTGAAAGCATATAAAAAGAGAAAAACTACCAGAGAAGTGGGAGACCCTCTTGACAAGGTATAAGAATCTCTAAACAGAGAATTATGCATTGCAGTTTCCATTTTCTCCAATGCAGTGCAGTTTCTAATTAGTTTCCGTTCAATATGCAGAAAAAAGAAAAAGAAGATGAAGGACAACAAAGAGAAGCAGAAGACCAAGGAAAACCTGATAATGCTGATCAAACTCCAGAATTAAAAGAGGATGGAAAGAAGAAAATGTTTGAGAATGAAGCTGGAAATGAACCTCTTGCAATTCAAGACCTCTTGGTGAAGTCCATGACAGACCAAATCAACTATCACCAACGTCAAGATCCTAGCTTCATTTGCCCAGAAAGATTACAACTGTGGAAGGATGAAAAAAATGAAGACAGTGAGAAGAAAATGAAGGAATTGTGGGATATATTTATCCAAGGAGAAAAGAGATCAAAGGAGCTGGAAGCGAAGTTGGCAACATACGTAGAGAAATTAGATAATGAAGAATATGTGACTGCCACCATGACAGTGGAATCTACAGTTCAGCTTCAGGAAATACAAAATCTAAAAAGGAGGATTGCAGAATTGGAAGGCAAGGAAACTCGTATTGACATGGAGAAGATTGCCAAGAAAAAGGAGATTGAAGAAAAGTACAAGGTAGAAATTCAAAGCTTGTTGTCAGACCCAACAGTCTTTGAAATGGAGATGGATCTGCCTACAACACAACCAACACAACCAGTTGAAGAGTAAGAAGAAGAAGAAGAAGAGAAAGAAGAAGACAAGAAAGAAGAAGAGAAGCAACAAGAAGAGAAAGAAGAAGAGAAGAAGCAAGATGCTCCAACACCTGATGTTCCTTCAAGAGTACTAAGGCTGAAGAATAGAGAAAGAAAGAGGCTTCAAGCATCTTGCTATATGTACGAAAAAAATAAGAAACCAAAAAAGAAGGCAAAAAAGGATGATGAAAAACTACCACAATTCAAGCTTATCTCTTCCGAGGAGCAATCAACACAAGAGGATCCTCAAACTCAGAAGGTGGTATGCAATTACTGCAGTTCAAGCTGCTGCTTTTTCTGTTTTCTGCATTGCAGAAAATAGAAACTGCAATGCAGTGTGTTATCTGCTTTACAGAAACGGAAACTGCATTGCAGTTTCTGTTTTATCAAATTGAGTTTCTAATTAGTTTCCTTTCAATCTGCAGTTAACACAAGAGGCATCTCAGCCTGATGCCACAAATCCAATTCCTGATCCCCCAAAAGGAACGAGCCTTCATGATTCAATACCTGTAGGTATGCAAGAATCAAATGATGAAGATGAAGGACAAAAAAAGCCAACAAAGAAAAAAATAGGATTGGGTCAAAAGAAGGTTTGGCAGAAAATTCCAAAGGAGGACAGGGACAGAATTCAAGAATACTACTTAAGTACTCAACCTAGGTAATATCTCTATTCCAAAAGAACAACTCTTTCATCTTTTAATTACAATAAACTAAAACTAATCTTGTGAATTTCATGTATTCGAATCCGCAGTGATAACTTTTGGGCAGGACTCGATAATGAGAAAGTGACAAACCATGATATCAAAGATATTGTATGGGACCTGGAACTGTCACAAAACGTAAGTATAAAATACTAATTCTATAACACACACTGCACTGCATTTTTTATTTGTGCTACCTATATTACCCGTTAATAATTCCATTTTTCTCCAATCAATGTGAAACAGGTTATTGAGGCCTATATCCAAATAGAGGAGGAGAAATAGGGCCCATGCAGACAGATAGTCCAAAGTACATGTCTACATGGACTTGGGTAAGAATTATTTTGAAAATTCAAAGTTGTTTAAACAGACACGACACTGCAGTTTTCGAAAAATATATACTAACAAATTGCCATTCAATGATAGCAGGCTTACATGCAAACCTTTCTAGAACCAAATTGGCATAGGGCCCTGTATGAACACTTACTTGAAAAACTCGGGAAATGCAATGTTCTCTTCTTCCCGATCATTTCAAGTTCTGAGTTCCACTTTACACTTCTCACATTTCACAAAATTGAACGAAAGTGAAGAAAAGTGTATTGACATTGCTCAAAATTTTGTAAGTGGAATGAAACTGTCTTAATTTCTCAGCACAAACACAAATAGAAACTGCAATGCAGTTTCTGTATTATACGTACTGCTTAATTTCGGACCAAAACTATAATATGCAATGCACTGATTACCATTTCTTTTTCTCTTTTTTTCTTCTTCTTTAAACAAGTTAATATTGTGGAAGGGTGGCTAGAATATATCAGACCACAAGCACAAGAGTTCTTAGAAACTAAAAAAATACCAAAACTTATGAAGCAAAAAGAAAGGCCCCCTACACCTGCACAGGTTGATTTGTCCCCAAATGAAGAACTCACTCTAAATTGGATTCTGCAAAATCCATATCAGTTTCCATTTGAGGATGACACAGAATGTGCTCAACAAAATTCATCTTCGTAAGAATTGTGTCTACTCAACCATTCATTACAATTTGAAATCATTCAAAACCAAAAGCTAATCTCGTATTCATTTGCAGGTTGGATTGCGGCATGTTCGTCATGTTCTACATGGATAAAATAGCACAAGGACAGCCCATTCCAAAAAGTGTGGACAAGAATTTCATGAATGAATATCGAGCACAATATGTCACAAAACTCCTACACCACAAACACTGTGTAATTAATCGTCTCTAGTGATTTGCCTTTCGTTAACTCAAGACAATATGTATCTTAATTCTTGTGGATGTTTGTAAATATTTCTAGTTATGGTATATGAGAACATATTTCCTATACATATAAACTGTAATATAATCTTGGAACAGGATGCAACAAAACGAAAGGGAAACAACAAACTGCACTGAATTTTCTGGTCAAATACTGCAACAAATTAAAACTGCAGTGCAGTTTATATAAATAAATAAATAATCTGCTCAAAAAATGTGAAAGAAACCCAAGAGCCAAAGCCATAATCAAAGTACTTTGTTCAAAACACATTTAAGTAGGTCAGCAGTTGTAACATTCCAATATACTTGCAAAAATTATTCTGAAATTGAATTATCTAACGTAAGCAATTGTCAACTGAGAAGGAATGTTCATATCACAGCCTTGCAAGTCTTCCTATTATGCCCAGTAACACTACACGGATTGCATTTCAATGGCCTTTTAAATTTACCAAAAGCTTTGATCCTCTTTGTTGGTGGTCTTCCGGCTGGCCTCTTTGTAATTGGCGGAAGCACAACTCCAGCTGCAAAACTATTGTTGCCCAAGCCTTTCCCAATATCTGGAATAGGAAAAATAGGACTCTCATAGGCTTTTCGAAAGAAGTCAGTCCTATAGTAACACTCCACGTAATCATAAATTGAATCTTTCTTTGCTAGAATTGCAGCTACTGCATGCGTGCAAGGAAAACCGTCAATTTGCCAAAGACGGCAAGAACAAGTCCTTTGCTCAAGATCAACCATCACAGAATAATCAGCAAATACTTCAAAAACAGTGAAACTAGAACGACGAACTAACCAAGTCCTACCTGCCTCCGCATTTTCCCACAGTCTAGTTTCCATCTCCGGACACAAAATTGTTGTCCACTTCTCCGCTTCAATTCGTCGTTGAGAATTCAATACCATCAATTTCTGTCGAATCCCTTCTATCAAAGGTAGCACCGGCAAATCTCGAAACACACCAACCCAATTATTAAATGACTCCGCTAAACTATTTGCCATCTCCCCATACCGCATTCCTTTGAAATATGCGTTCGCATAGTGATCTCTAGACAAATTAGATATAAATGTCTTCACTTTCGAACTCCCAACAATCACCAACTCCTCCATTGCTACCGTAAACTCTTCCTCTGTAACAGCATATGTGCACCTACTAAATAAATTGATAACACGGTCTTGGAGCAATTTCCCATAACCTGACTTCGGGTACTTCGATATCAAATTCTGTTTGAGGTGATAGTAACAGTAAGAATGAGGCCATCCAGGAAACACAAACCCCATTGCATTTAACAAACCCTGATTGCGATCCGAGAAAAAGGTCACCACTCTCCCCATTGGTAGCAAAATAGAAGCCAAATGTTGAAGAAACCAAGTCCAATTCTCCTCCGTCTCAGAATCAACAACTCCAAAAGCTAGAGGATAAAACCCTGCAAAACAAAACCAAAAGCACAAGTATAAGCAAAAAAGGGAAATTGCAGTGCAGTTTTTGAAAACAAATCTGCTCAAATTTGAAAGGAAACCAAAAGGCAAATCCATGATCCAAGTACTAAAACTAAGTTTAAAACACATTTAAGTTCATGAGCAGTTGCAACATTCCCACAGACATACAAAAATTATTAAGAAAATCAAATTATGAAACAAGAAACTGCAATGCAGTTTCTGCTAAAAAATTGCAACAAATGGAATCTGCAATACATTACAGTAACCATACCTTGATTTCCATTCTTTCCGGAAGCACAGAGAAGCTGCCCCTTGTACTTGCTCTTCAAAAACGTAGCATCAACGAACAACAAGGGTATGCAATATTGAAATCCAGCAATGCAACCGCCAAACGACACAAAAAACCGTCTAAAGCGATTAATTCCAGCTTCACATTCAAGAGTGCAGAGAGAACCAGGGTTAGTTTCCTTTACAGCGTCCGCATACCACACTAACTCGTTGAAGGACTTCGACTCATCACCGTGAACGTTCAATTTAGCTAACTCTTTGCCAAACCATGCATGGTAGTATGAAATGTCTATACCATAATAATCTTTGAACTCGTGTATAATCTCAACTGGCTTCAGCTCTGGTTTTGCACGAATTCTGTCCACAATGAGGGAGGACACCACACGAGACTTCATCATCTTACTCTTTGATTCCCGTATCCGACCCACACATGTATGCACATTATTTAATGTCCGAATTACAAAACAGCCAGTAGCTTCACAACGAGAAGCATAAACACGCCAGCTACAACCCTCCATTTCTTATTCGAACAAATAGCAACCACCCGCTTCTTGTCATTGCCGGCATATAAAAAATTAAATCCTACTTCAAGAGCGTACTTGCACAATTTCAAACGGAACTCCTCTGCACCACCGTCAAACTTCTGCCCTACATGATGTATGTACGTCTCCCACTCATTCGACAACAAAGGCTTAGCACTTGCTCTCTTCGACCTGCCCAAAAATTCATTTCTGTCTTCGACAGTACTAGAACACGACGACTCGCCCTTTTCACATGCTATCAACTCCTTATTTACACAAAAATCACCACTATATTCACTGCTCCCGCATAAATCCTTCACTAAAATATCAACACTCTTCTCATTTGATACAAACAAAAATGTCCTCATCATGTCCAAATCGCTATCCGTTTCTAGAAAACAACTCGGATAACTGGGCAGCGAATACCGTAACGTAAAACAACCCAACTGCAAACCCTTAAACCTTAGACACAAAGTCTTCAAAATATCAACCATGGATGACTCTGATGAAACTGAAAACATAATGGTTTCCGACTTATATGTGCACTTGGCAATGACACACACCTCCATTAGCCTTGAAAATGCACAAAACAACAAACAAAAACAGAAAACAATTTAAATCAGTAAATAATGTACATGAGCAGTTGTAAAATTCCAATAGACTTCCAAATATTAGTCTGAAATCGAATTATGAAACAAGAAACTGCAATGCAGTTTCTACCAAAACTACAACAAACAGATGTAGTTTATGACAGAAAATCAAAACAATTCGAATAGAAACCAAAAGGAAACCACGATAAAAGTACTAAAACTAAATTCCATAAACATACAAGTCGATATAAACGAAAACAGGTTCTAAAGTACTCATACCTCAAAACTTAGGACTGCCAAAAATCTCCACAACCAAACAGCAGCTTAAAATCAAATCTGATCACGAAACGAAGAATATAGGGTTTAGCATTAAATGCCACAAGATCGCGTCGCAAAATCGAGCCACAAAACTGAGCTCGAAATACCCGAACTAAGGAGAACAGAAATCACCCAAAACTGATAGTCATTCAGCATGCAAATCGAACGAAAATGTAGCAGAAAAAAGAAGACAGAAAAACGAAGAAAATAAAAGCAAAACCTACCAGAAAATTGAGCTCCAATGGCAGAACCCAGCTCTGAAACGAAGAAGAAAACGAACGAAAAAGAAAAGAAACTCGCGCGTCGTTTAAACGTTCAGAGGCAAAAGCGTCATTTAATTTGTAGGTTTACAGATGGGCCAGGCTTTTTAAGAGAAAATGGTAGAATTGTCTTTTCATTTGTTATTTTTAAGCTGGCCCAACGAATCTGGGCTAGCCTTTGGCCTAATCTAAAATAGCTATTTTTTCTTAAGTATTAAAACCCAAACTAAAATTCCTAATATCTCATTACTAATTAGTAAACTTAATTATGTCTAATACCTAATTTTCCTTTTTAATTTAAACAAAAATTTGATGGGTAAATGTGGTTTTTAATTAAAGTTTTTTAAGGTTAATTGTTTCTCTGTTCTCAAAACAAAAAAGGTTCTTCCATCAAGTCAACGCACAGCTAGGGTCCATTTATGTTGATTGGAACTTGGGGTAGGTGTGTTGGGTTTGTTATTTTATATTATAAAAAAAAGAACCGCCTGGTCTATAGGCCATGTTAACCCTAGGGATGGTCCGTCCCTGTTAGGCATCCTTCTGAGTATGGTTTTTTACTCCGTATTGTTTTGCAGGGGTAAAGAGAACCGAAGAGGAAGACGGAATTTTTAGATGAATATTCTTTGAGGACGAAAATCGTGGTCAAGCCTACGCTTTTGTCTCATGTTCATCATTCAATTATCAATCGGCAGCTCAGAAAGTCATTATACACTCCTCAAAGTCCATTTTTTAAGTTCTGTTAGTTTAGTTTTTTTTTGTCGGAAGTTCTGTTAGTTTAGTTAAATTGAATACTTGATTGTAATTTCCTTTGGTTATTATAGTAGAATTAATTTTCTCCCACCAGCGTGGAAGCTACTTCCAAGTCAGGGTTCGCTAATGTACAAAGTTACATCGCATGCATGACTTGGTCGTCTTGTAGGCATCTTGCGCGTAACCGTCCATGTCAGAAACATCATCGTATCGTATTATATGGTGATGATTGATGACCAATTTACGTAGACAATTGTGTGGAAATTTGGGTTTGATTAGAGAAGACTCGTAAAAGGGACGGTCTGAAATTAGACTTTTCTATATAATTTAAGCCTATACTTGTTTTAAGTCACGCTTTTAACTCTAAATAAGATGTCACGCTACTCCACGACTAACCCACTCCAATGGAAAACCTTCAAATTATTTGTCTTTCATCAAATGTCCCATAGTATAGTTCAGGATGATTTCATCAAACTTCCAGCCCTTACGCCCAATGTTGATCGAATAGCCCTCCCTGATAAAGGATTAGAATCAGCCCTTACGCCCAAAATGATCGAACAAAGTTCTGATACAAGTTGTTGGAATTTATGCGCTCAACTCTGATACCATTTTTAGGATTTTTAAGTGCTCTGATACAGCTATTGGATTGGATTGACTCGGTCGTCCTGGACGTACCTGTCCATGTCAATTTGGCTTGCCTTATGGAAAATTTGGGCTTGATTTGGAAGGCCTGTAAAAATAATTGATAATTAGACACTGTTGTTTGGCACTTCAACTACTTTTGACCCTATAATTTCAATTCCGTCAATTTTGCCATTGTAGTTTCGTATTTATAGCAATTCAAGGACATGTTTGAATTTTTGTCAATTTCTTTAACGATGCAAGGGGCAATTTCGTCAATCCAAAACCCTTGAGCCTAAAAGCTTGTTTGAAATTTTCCCCATTTCATATTAGGGCTCAAAATTCAACCACTAATCCCAATTTTTTAAGAACCCTAAACCTAAGTGACCAATTTCAAGCCCTAATATGAAATTAGGGGAGTTTCAGACAAGCTTTTATGCTCAAGGATTTTGGGTTGATGAAATTGCCCCTTGCATCGTCAAAGAAATTGACAGGAATACTAATTTGTCCTTGAATTACTACAAATACGAAACTACATGGTCAAAATTGACGGAATTAAAACTACATGGTCAAAAGTGGTTGAAGTGTCAAACTACAGAGACCAAAAGTGACTTTTAGCCTTATTCTTTTTCTTTTTACCAAAAGAAAATGTGTTATTTACAAGTATTATTTTTCATTTTGTTTTTCGCTAGGGGGGAGGAAGAGTCATTAGAGTCACCGCACTGGTCAATAATAATAATTTACTCCACAGTGAACCAAAAAACGCTGTGACAGGGGATAACTAGGGGTGTTTTGTTGCCGGGTTGCCCAAACTGGTGACCAGGGTCTCATCAGCGGAGCATGAGGAGGCTGTAGCTGCAACGGAGGCTGCTGTGATGTTTGCTGAAATGCTAGCCTTGGAATGGATGATTTTTGAAGGAGACTCTGAACGGAGTTATACATAGGTGGTGGATTGCAATACTTTATAAAGTTTAGGTGGGTAAAAATAAAAATTAGAAGTTCATGTGCTTACTAAAAGTTCAAACGGTATTTATACAAATTTCCCTACAAAAATTTGCAACTTTAAGCAGTCCCTGATCAATAGTCTCAATTATTAACTTTACTCACTTCACTTTTTTTTTAAATCTCTAGGAGGGGAATCGAAGACCATAAAATTTTCATGATTTTGTTCGTGTTTATGAATGGGCTCAATAGGTAGCTCCTATACATTGATTTTGTTCTTCACACCTTTTGGGGATCTAGGGCCATTTCTTGTCCCTATCGCTACCAAATACACATTTTGAGTTGAACCAATATTGACATTGTATTGTGCAATTGTCTTTTCTGTTACATGAATTTTCATATTTCTCATAAAACTAATGCTCTTCAATTTTTTCTTTTTAAATAATTGAATAAGTGATAACCATGAAGGGAACTTTCAGATTTGCGTAAAATGAGGTTAGGGTCGATGTCTTTGAATAATTGTGAAATGGGAAATTCGTACGAAAATTCATTAATAATATTTTATTGGGGAACATAAATCTGCGGAGTCTTTAGCCCAGAGCAGCAAAATCATTGAAATTGACAAAAGGGAAATTGCATGGGCTCAATTGACTTGGGTAGTCTTGTATGTGCAGCTCTTGTGCGTCTGTCATTTTGACATGTTCTGTAGTTAATTTATGACCAATTCGCTTTGAGTTTTGCGGAAAATTTGGCAAGAAAGTTGAAATTACAAACTTGGGATGACCTTACACCAATAATAGAACAGAGCTAAAACAAGAGGCCAAATTCATGTGAAAATAACAATGTGCAATTGTGAGGCGAAGACCTTAAACCAATACTTGCAGTCTAGAACAGCTTTGGTGGCTGATAATCTCGCGGTCATTGGTCATGATAAACATAATACTCATGTATATATTTTGCTAAAGTTAGGAAGAGGTGGGTGTTTTTTTGACACACTGCTAAGATGCCGTGGGGTTCGAACTTGAAACCACTGGTCTGCAAGACAAGAGCCTTTCCACTGGGCTAGACCTCATTGGCGAACATCATACTTATATTTAGTTTGGTAATTTTCCTTACATGATAGCAGTCTATATAGAGATAGTAACTGGGCTGCTTGAACTTGTTTCTGACTCAATTTGGGAGGCCATTCTAATTGAGCTGCTTGAACTTGTATCATCGTTCCTTACAATTTGTGTTCTTCCAGAGGACATCTCAATTTCCAAACATTCCTTCAAGTCCTTATAGATAAAAGTTATTTCAGGCCTTTGGATTGCTTTTAAAGACACATGCCATGGCAATTTGTAGAGCTTTCCAAGCAGAAGAGGTGTTGTAGGTCCCTTGTATTCTTGAATCCACGATACTTTCAGTTTCCATAGTCTCAAACTTTGGACTCACCCATCGACATATGTGAATAGGTTCAGCTTCCACATCTCTTATAATTGCTGCTCTACCAGTTATTAGCTATAGCAACACAATCCCAAAGCTGTATATATCACTCTTTTTTTTCAGCTTTCCTGTATAGTAATATCTGGCAGAATAGGGAAAACAATTAATTAGATATTCCTTGTTTTAGGGATAATTTGATCTTAATAAAGCACTACCTACCTATAGGATTTAGGGTTTAGGGCTTATATATAGAAAATGACCAAACATATAACTCAATTCAAACAGTTCACATATATGAAAAGGTTACAATTTGGATATGATCATAAAACAAGATTCCAGAAAAATTTGGAAAATTTAGTGAGCAAATTAACACTTACTGAGGATCAAGGTACCCAAATGTTCCTTTAGGGTCAGTTGATACATGAGTGGCACTTTCAGTTGCAAAAACTTTAGAAAGACCGAAATCGGCTATCATGGCGTGAAGATTTTCATTTAGCAAGATATTTGAAGTCTTTAGATCTCTACGTACTATTGATGGCTTGCAGCCATTGTGCAGATAATCCAGTCCTGCAAAAATTACTTAAGCCA